GGATGATGAAAATATGGCACCCCCCTCGACTACGGTAGTTATGGAGATGTCCATAGTGCATTCTCGGCCCTTCACTTTTTCCACAGCAATCTGGGGCACTCCTCCCCCCCCTGTGCTCCTCCTCTCTTCCTACACCAACACCTTGTACTGCCACCTCGCCCAACTTTCCAGGGCAAAAATAGGCTCTCCGGAGGAAGTAATCTTGATCCATACCCACTCGCCAATGAACTCGATTCCCCGCTGCAGGAACAGGACTTCAAGAGCGAAGATGTAGAGTCTGGGTTGATTATCCAGATCCCCACCACACATCGTTTAATACAGGAGGTGAGGTTGTGGGGCGCGGGGAACCCGGCGAGTGGGATATGAGCTGAAAAGATGTAATAGAGGAATTGCATAGAGCCATGTCGGGCCCTACCTCCAAGATGGACGTACTGGACTGTTCGGAGCAGTGGTACTAAAAGAGTAATGTTCTGATCATCAGATATAATCATTATCAGTGAAGCCTTCAATATTCGTAATAATCAGCAATTTTCATACACTTTTTCCACTTACATTCCAAGTTGTGCTGAGATGCATACGCGGCCCATGACGAACAACTGTGGAGTCAAGATAATTATAAAAGATTCTCTTCGCTTCTGTGTCGAGAGCAGGAACTCCATCTCTATCTCCATCCTCTTTCCGCCCCAGCAAACCTCAAAAAGAATTCTCATCTATGCTACCTCAAACCAAACGTCCTCTGTCCAAGCCATGCCTCAACCATCTCTCCTCACTCCCGTCCAACTGGTAGCTATGGAGGCTGCTCGTGTTGTTTGGGAAATGTTGGGTGAAGACCAATAGGAAGATTTCGTCGTTATCGGAGGGGCCGCCCTCCTCTTTCACGGTGCGGACATCATGACCGCGGATGCAGACTTGGTAGTCACTGGAGATTCGTACACCAAGTTCATAAGTGCCGCCAAGGACGATAGCCGCTTCACCGAGACCATATTGGGCCCATGGGAATACAAGTTAACCTATGATTTCGTGGTTAAAATAGATTTTCTTGACAAGAATGGGCATGGAGGCTATACCCAAGAGCAGCGTTCGCAGGCGGCTAGGCCGGCCTGCAGATAGCCTGCAGATCCACAGTCCGGCCCGGCCGGGTCAAAGGGAAACTGACCTGGGCTTCGTCGGCCAGGTTTTTGTGAAGCCTGCAGGAAACATGGATGCCTGGGGGCACCGGCAGGCTTTCGGCATATGCCACCTGATTAGTAAATATTTCGTCTGTGCACGGCTGAAATCTGAAGATCCCTGCTGATATCAGAAGATACCCGAAGATATCCAAAGATGCCCGCAGATATCTGCAGATGCACGAAGATATCTGATGATGCCCAAAGATATCCCGACATGCCTGTGGATATCTGAAATCCTGCAGATATCTACAGTCCGGCCGGGCCCGGTCAGATAGGCGGGTAAACCAGGACTATGGCCTACAGTCCGGCCCGGCCGGCCACCAAAAAAGCCCAAGCCGGCCGCCCTAGACCTCAATCCTGGCCGGACTGGCCGCTTGCGAACACTGCCCAAGAGCTCCGGGAGCACTCTTTGATTGGCGGGATACCGGTAGCAACACTAGTCGACTTTGCGATAGGGAAAGGAACTACGTGGGTGGATCGCTAGGACCCTAAGGAATTGGATGGCCTGGAATATGCATTGGTGATGATGGCCCGGCAGGGGTGGGATTTCAAATCCTTGGACGTGTGGGCGACTGAGTGTTTGGAAGACATTAAGATAAAACTGGGGGAATCGGTACGGGGACTGGGGCTGCTGCAGCTGGTCAGGAGGCTCTTGTAGGTGGGGTGGTTTCCAGACAACGTTATGTGAACTTTAAAGGGTGAACATGAAATACCGGTGGATTATGCTTGAGCTTCGTCTTCCACGTGTTTATCATAACAGGAATAGAAAAGAAAATGCTAGTGCATGGCTACTGTAACTCGTAGCGCACTCAGTCTCTTCCGAACTGTAGATTATCCCGCGCTAACCCCCCCCCCCCCTCGCTTTCATGCCGATACTATTCGACCATTTGCCTATTGGTTGGGAAAGGGAAGCATATTCAGGATTGTAGGGTGAGGGATTTATTCTCAGATACAGGCTCACCTTGAACTGTAGTCCGGAGCTCCCGCCAGCTGTGCCCGATCATTGTGTGGTCGAGCGTTCGTGTAGGGAGTCGTTCCTGGTGGCTTGGCAGTGTTTTCAATCCAATTTATTTATCCTGGAACCGCCGAATCCGCATACGTCTAGCTAAACACCCAGCATCCTACAAAATAACAAAACACTACCATGGGCACACCCATCTCGCATCCACTCCACCCAAACATAAATCCAGAATTCCACTATCCATAGGCTTACGGGCACTGTTGAGGGATATTAGTGGGAGGAAGTGAGTTAGGGGGTTACGAGTGTAGAATAGGATGGGGATAATTAAGGTTGCTGTCTAAGTGATGGGCTGTTCTGTATGGGAATCTATAGAACGGAGGATCTCTAATTTGTGAGAAAAAAAAAGAAAAGAAGGGACCCGATTTCCGTTGGGATACCATCAATTGAGAAGCCAGGGTTTTTGTCCACTTTTGGTGTGAACTGGTCCAATCACCAAGACTTTTGCCTGTCCGCTATACGAATGGCTACCACGAGTGACAAACATAACCTCTACTCGACACCGGAATATTCCAGGAGGATCTTGTCATATGAGGAGATGACTCCGCCATGAGAGTCGTTGACTCGTAGTGGGAGAGCAAGTTCGCAGGACACAATCTAATTCTTCTTATAACACTTTGCACCCTCTGACCATACTATTATTCAATTTTAGAAGGGATATACGGCATTAATAGACATCGCCCGGAGCTCAGCTACTCTGCCTGGATTTGAGTCTGTGATCATAATAAATCACATGTTTGCTCTTGTCTCCTAACGCACGGTACGAGAGTTGAACGGGAGATTCTAGAAGTTTCGTGCCACACAGAGGATATTCCAGTACGGTGTCATCATATTTGCAGTACTCTTTCACTTGTAACATCATGGCTGTGTGGTCATATCCGACGCTATACTGTGCTGTACACCTAACCGGGTCCCCTCGCATAGTTTCCACCGAAAAATACTCCCTTTTTCTTCCTTTGTTTAAATCACAGCTCACTTCGCCCCTCAACATTCCCCCCAAGCCAGAACACCCCCCACGAATCCGCTCAGTAGAAGAGATATTTGCTCCTCAACCAATGTAATCATCTTACTAGCTTTTCATGGAAATATCCGACACCCGCCACCCACCTCCGTGGTGCACAAGGTTGTTTCGGCGACTCAATACAAGAAAGATACATCGGATCACACCATTACGCATAACAAGTGTGAGCAATTGATAGTGTGTGAATAAACGGATACCTGATCTGTATGAGTTTTAATAGCTACGTTTTTGCTCTATTTATTTTGTTTCGAGTTTTCCCTGAGCGCAGCACTTTATACCTCACAGAGTATTTATCATATTAGCATAGACAAGTTGGAGGGGGTTCCCGAAAATATGTTGAAAATGTATGATATATAGGGGGAATAGGACTGGAATTTCTACGGCACATCTTCCTCTAATAGACATGCCTAGGTTTCTACAAGTTTCCCTAAACTAGGAATCCATTGGAGGTGGGAAAAGCTTAGCAAAATAATAGAGTGGTCAGGTTTAGGGAATGCTTATAGTACAATGATAAGATATCATAGATAAAGGCACAGGGTGGGGATAAATCAAGACCTGGGATGGCAGCACTAATGTGGATCAGTAATGGGCAGGGGCTGTTCATGGCAGATGAGCTCTGTCATGCGCTGGCAGTCACTCCACCGCAGCGTTCCCAATGGTCGGACCGGTCTGGTCTTGGGGGCTTGACTGGACCTTC